TAAAAATCTGGCCACATGGGAAAGAAAAACTGGACAACTTCCTCTCACACCTCAACAGCCTACACCCCAAAATACAGTTCACCATGGAAACAGAAGGTAATAACCAACTTCCCTTCCTGGATGTCTTAGTCTACAAGAAATCCAATGGCTCCCTAGGACACACCATCTACCAGAAGAAAACACACACAAACTGCTATCTGCATGCTCTCTCACACCACCATCCAGCACAGATCAACTCTGTAGCCAAGACACTCATCTCTAGAACAAAACACTTAGCTGATGAACAACACCTAAAAACTGAACTACACACTCTCACTAATGTACTTACATCCAATGGATTCCAAAGAAATAAGATTACCAAACTAATCCAAAAAGAAACCTCCACTAAAATCCAAGACAGAGAACAAGAAAACGGCAAAGCCCTCCTCCCTTAAATAAAAGGCACCACAGACAGAGTCAGTAAGATCCTCAACAAACACAACATTAAGATAGCATTCTGCACAAACAGAAAAATATCCACCATCCTAAGAAACCCCAAAGACAAAATTGAATTAGAAAATCAAGGAGTATACGAAATCCCATGCACTGCTTGTCTCGCCACATACATTGGACAAACCAACAAAACAATAAGTGCACGCATTGAAGAACATAAGAACTCAGTCAAAAAAGAGGAACCAACTTCTTCCCTGGTCCAACACCTTAAAATCACCTTAAATTGACTTTAAAAAGAACAGAATTATCGCCAAAACTGAACCCTTTAATAACAGAATAATCAGAGAAGCCATTGAGATAGAAAAATGCCCACACAGCATGAACAAACGAGATGATAGCTCCTGCCTACCAGCCATCTGGAAACCCACCCTTATTGACAAACGAGTCCCTAACACAAAGAATGACACCACACCCACACTCACGAAAGCCACACAGGATGTCACCACCACACATCCACGCAAAAAGCAAACCCAAACCCACACCGATGATGAGGCACGACCACAAACCAGAAGCCAGACCACAGCTGCATCATTAGCCACTTTAAACCCCTCCAATCCATACATGAAGCAAACTGACACCCACCATGAAGATGAGGCACGACCACGAAGGTGAAGCCAAACAATAGCAATGCAGCTCACCATCTCACAAATCCGTGCAATTCAGACTAACCTGAGCCCCCACCCAAACAGAACACTCCCCCAACCAATCAGAGCACAGCCAACCCCCCATCAATCAGAGCACAGCCAAGCTCTCATCCAATCAGTTCATACCCCCACTGGCAGTGAAAAGGAAGAAACAGCTACGATCACATATTGCTCCTAGAAGCATGAAGCTGAAAACACAATCTAGGGCTATCCCCAGGCAGCAGTCAACAATCATTTTTATGTTAAATTTTATGTTAAGTAGCTCAAAATAGCTATACCAGTCTCCCTTTAACTCTTTGTTAGCAATCCAAATTTAACACACACACACACACACACACTTTCCATTGTTATAAATGAAAATTAAAGATAGTAAAGTAAACCTAAAGAAAGAAAATGTTTATCTTTTTATGGTTAAGGCTGAGGTATATAAAATGCAGAACAATAAGTAAAAGTATATTTTCCCTGGAATTCTGAAAAGTCAAATAGAGGTCTGACCAAATAAAGACAAAGCAGGTTATAGCATAACCTGTTGTATAATGCATACTGCATAAAGTAAACTATTGATTTTAGTAATTCTAGCATTATATCTATTGTTTTCAATAAACAATAGTCTTTATCCAGCTATAATAAGCAAAAGTTGTATCTAGGTCAGGGGTCGCCAACCTTAAACACTCAAAGAGCCACTTGGACCCGTTTCCCAGAGAAAAGAAAACACTGGGAGCCACAAAACCTGTGTGTGCATGTGTGCATGCGCAAGGGGGGGAGCTTTATTGAAAAGTTTAATTAAAAAGAAATAGAGGCTGCTGTGCATGAGTTCTCTCTCTCTCTCCCCCCCCCCCGTCTCCGATCTTCTGCTCACCTGGCAAGCTGGCTTCAAGCTATTCTCCGACAAGCTGCCCTTGGTCTATCAGTCCTCTTCCACCACTCAGTGTGTGTGTGTGTGTGTGTGTGTGTGTGTGTGTGAGAGAGAGAGAGAGAGAGAGAGAGAGAGATATGCTTCTTCTTGCTTCCTGCTGAGACACAGCAAAGGCAGGAGCCCCGCCCAATAAGCTTGTCAGCTTGTCCGAGAACAACGTGAGGCCACTCTCTTTTTCACACACACACACACACAGAGAGAGAGAGAGAGAGACAGAGAGAGAGAGACAGAGAGAGAGAAGGGAAGCACAAGTGTCTCTCTCTGTCTTTGCCTCTGTCTCTGTCTCTGCAAATGGCGGAGGAGGCTGGGAGCCACAGGAGAAGGCTCAGAGCCACATGTGGCTCAGGAGCCGTGGGTTGCTGACCCGTGATCTAGGTAGCTCAAATAACACATGTATGGAAGCTTGTTTCTGTAGAAGAATTCATCTTCATTGATGAGATGAACATTTATTGAAGCAGTGCCAAGAGACCTGCTGTTGAAATGCACTCAGAAAAATAGAACACATCTTCCTTCAGAATAGCTGTTCTAGCAATTTGATTTTTCCTCGGCTTCCTTTGAGAGGCCTATATGGTGGTTTTACAGACTGTTCCAAACTGGGTGTCCGTGCATGTATATATAAGCATTATATCTCTTTTTTTGAGAGCAGGCATCACAATTTCATTTTAATGTGTGCCTTTGTGTACACAGAAAAGCGACTGTAAATCTTGTCTTGTCTTGCCTCGCCTCATCTCATCTCATCTTTTCTTATTTTATCTTACCTTACCTTGGAAACTAACCAAAGAGAGAAGCAACCTAGAACTAAAGAGAAATTTCCTGATAGAACAATTGATCAGTGGAAAAACCTGCCTCCAGAAGCTATGAATGCTCCAACACTGGAAGTTTTTAAGAAGAGACTGGACAGCCATTTGTCCTGCTTGAGCAGTGGGTTGGATTACATGACCTCCAATGTCCCTTCCAACATTATTATTATTGTTGTTGTTGTTGTTGTTAACTTAACTTTAATCTCATCTGTGCATATGCATATGCATATTTCTCACTTGCTTTTTCTCTAATTGGATAATGTAATGGTTTGTAACGAAACCACCCGCTGCATAAAAATGGCATATTTAGTAGTCATTCATGATTCTTACTTGTGCAATTATTCACATCTAATTATTCACAGCAATTCTTTTTTGTCCACTTCTTTGTGTTTGTTTATTGAAAGTTACACAGCATACAGCCCTTTCGAGGTTAGTAAGTTTTAGTAAATGTGTCACAAAAATAACAGTACATTTATTCTCTACTTCTTTATGATCAACATAATTTATCTCTACTCTGGCATTTTCTCCATTTCTGCTCAAAATCATTGAGCACTGAGGGTGAACAAGGCAGTAGTGAAAAGATCTAGTGGCCATTAAGGAGGTAATTTTTGAAAAGCCACATATTTATCCTTAGCAGCACGCTACATTTGCAAACTTGTAACCACGGAAAACATACTTACAAGCTGTGTAAATGTCTCATTGTTGCTACTAATTTCATTCTGTAAAGTTTATTTTCAACTATTGTGGATATTCTAGTATGAAGTGACTTTGACTCAGTCATCTCATTGGATATATTAATGTGACTATTATTAACAGATTTGCCCCATGTTACTTTAGCTGGCCAAAATTTAAGTAGTATCAAATTATACAATAATAGTCTAATGGAAATCTGAATTATTAAAGAAAAATTGTAGATGAGTTCTGTGCTATGTACATCTCTTTATGGTATAAAAACTGTCATGCAAAATCACTCATAACTGCCAGCTGAAATCAATAATACTTTTATTTAACTTTTTGTAATGTTAGTATTCCTAAAAAAAAAAAAAGGTGAAGGCCCCATTATTTACTTTCTCACAAAATACTGGAAAACTTCAAAGTATCTTCCCTTAAGAAATTGCTATATAGATTGCATGCAGAAATATAATGCAAAGCCAGAATTGACAAGACAGCAACAGGCAGCAAAAACCACCTCTGTAACCACCTTTGTAAGCTGAAGAAAGAGTGGACCACCTAGTTAGGTGCTGCAAGAAGAACACATAGACTGACTATAGACAAAATAACAACAATGGTACATTGAATATATGCAAAAAATATCACTTGCATCCCAGCAACAACTGGTAGGACCACAAAACAGACAAAATAATAGAGCACAAAGAAGTTAAGTGACCTGGGACTTAAGAATTCAAACAGAAAAGTATCTGCCACATAACACTCCAGACTTACTAACTGTCAATAAGAGAGACAAAAAAGTCTGAATATTGGATGCAGCAGTACCTGGAGATAGCAGAATAGTAAAGAAAAAATTGGAGAAAAATCACAAAATATAAAGATTTGAAGTAGAAATAGAATGACAGTGGCAAAAGAAAGCAAAGGTAGTAATAGTAATAATAGGTGCCTTGGGAGCAATCCTAAAAAAGATGGAACATTATATGAACACCATCAAAACCAACAAAATCATTATCAATCAATTGCAAAAAGCTTTATTTGGAAGAACTTACATCCTATGATGATACCTTTACCACTATCAAACAACACCATATGCCTATCTCAGGTACTTGGGAAGGACTCAATTAGTGGATAAAAATGCCAAATCTAAATATCTGACTGATTAAATGACCAACTGTAATAATAAATATCTAGTTTAAAACTCAAATCTTTATTTCAATTATAATGTATATGAACATATGAAGTTACAAGCTTGTTGAAGAAGAAAGAATCTAATTCACTCACTCAGTCACCAAGACATACATAATGTTATAAATACAAAATTGGAAGAGCCATTGTGATTTAATCTTTTCATTAAATCCTGTAAAATTCATATCTTCACTGAACAGCAAATATGTTGAACTTCATTAAACCCAAAGTTAACATTCTAATCTTAAATAACAGAGCATTAAATGATTACAATTAAGATTTCTGGTTGCCTACCTGTTGGCTGTGTTCTCTTGTGGTAAACAAGGATATCTTTAGCATTTTCAAGTTTAACTAAAAACTTCGTATCTCTGCTGTTAAATCTGTTAATTTGTATGACACTGAAGTTGTCTGGATTTGTTCCATACAAATAGTCTTCAAATATTGCTAAACCATATAGATGACTGACCTGAGGAAAAAAATGCACACACATAAATATATACATATATAATTATCCAATTTTACTAGCTTGTTTTACTTGAATAGTGATGCAGGTTGTACATCAAGATTAATAACAGAAATCATAACTAGGATGTGACTATTGGCTAATGAGAAACTCATTAAAACAGAAAGCAGAAATGGATTTTGCTTTTTTTTTCATTTGAACAATATGCATTTATTTTAAGAAGCTTTGGAATGAGAAATAATATTTGCCATTCTTATAACGAATACAAGCCAGAATTCTTGAATTCTCGTTTTTTGTACCAAGTGTTTCCAATCCAGACTGCAAGGATGAAAGTCTGACAATTATGTTTTTAAAAGGGTAGAAAAGTAGCAATATTCTGACTGAAAGGATATAGAAATACAATAAGCTAAATTTGGGAAGTATTGCATAATTTTATGCCCCAGTTAGGGGTATATGGATTGGATCTTTATTCTTCAGTAGATCAATGAGAACTTTATGAATGTAAGAATAGAAATCTGTTCTATGTCCACTGATTTACAAAAAGAGTATGATGAAGTGAATAGTTTTAATTATGGAATATTTTGTATGACTATGAAATTGAATAGCTGGCAACTAGTAGTATAAAGGAAAATAAAAGGATGCATAATAATAAATTAAATGCTTAGTGAATATTTCAGCATTGAGCAGGAAGTAAACAAAGATGTATACTGTCCCTTTCATTGTTTCATGTATTTATGAACAAATGGGTAAGACATGTTTGTGTTAATGTAAGAGTTATGTGGGTTGGGGGGTATGGATATGAGTATAGTTCTGTGTGAAGTATGATGCTTAAGAGCAATAATGTGAATGTCCAAGTACTTTTGTCTATATTGTTGGCTAAAAATCCAAATGATCTGAGTGAATGTGAGATACTTTTTCCTATTCTGTTCATATGGAGAGTTGGATACAACAGGAGAAATATAAAAGGAAGTTAAATGCAGTGGGAATTAATTATTTAAGAAGAGTAGGTTGTAAAACAACAAAAAGATCAAGAATTAATGGGTAATGGATGAATATGGACAGATATAACAGCAAATGAAAGATATGATTATGTGGTTTAATCAAGTAGAGAAAATGAATGACAAATTACAAAACAAATAGATAAAAAGCATCAACAGGTGGAAAGATGGATGAAAGGAAAAAGTTGGGGTTGGATAAAGTTGATCAGAATCTCAGATAGAAGCAAATGAGATGTTGAAAATCAAGATGAAATAATGGAGGATAGATTTGATAAGGTCAAGGATTATTATTTACTATTTCTTACTCCTTTCCTGTGTACTGATAATCTTGCTTACCCCAAAAAGGAATGCAAATGAGAAATGAAAACAGTTCAGGATCCAGCTATATGTTTAAATTAATTTGTGGCTAGAGGTACTGTATTTCGAACATAAAATCATACAATTGTTTATTATCCCATTTAGGTCACCCTTGATAGTTGACTGTGTATGTTCTGCCTGAACATTTGTAGTATTCCAGTGTTCATCTTCTCCTTCATCAGTTGCTTCAATTTCCTCTCCTTCATCAATTGCTTTTATTATCAACACATTTTTAATGTAATCAATGTTTTATTTATAGTATTTCATGTATTTATTTACAGAACATTTATGACTGACTATTTCATATAGAAATTCTAAGTGGATCACAACAATCCATAAAAAGCATAGTTAAAAAAAATGCATAGGCAACAGACCAACAATCCTTACAGCTGAAACCCACCCTAGTCCAGAGCATGGGGAATAGACTGGTCTTCGTACACTTCCCAAGGGACAGGTGGGAGGTTGTTCCAATGGGGTTGGAGTAGCCACCAAGGAGATGTACTTCCAGCGACCTGCCTCATAGCAACACCTAAGGGAAGGGATATGGAGTGCACCATCCTATCTAACCTAGTAGAATAAACAAATAACCTGCCCCGGTGCTATTTAAAGGCGATAACCAGCATATTGAATTGCACCAAAAGTCAGTTGGGAGCCAGTGCAGCTCATGCAGTAGTGGTGCTCTCAAATGCACCCAAAATTGGATGTCCCACTGTATTGTGAACCAGCTGCAGATCCTGGATGCTCTTCAAGGGCTGCTCTATGTAGAGAGCATTATAATCACTAATTATCCTAATATTAAATTGAAAATTATATTCCTATTAATTTAAAACTAGTATCCTGCAGACAACTATGTATTAGATGTGGTTTTCTTCCATTTGACAATTCTTTAGGAACTTGAAAACTACTACCAATCACCAATCAAATGTTTCCAATTGTAATTAAAACCAGTTGCCTTTATCTTTCTTCAAATAGGTAAGTTTCTAATCTCCTGGTCATCTTTGTTTCTCTTATCTCAATCTATTCTATCTTATTCAAATACTGAGCCTCTTCTCATTTAAATTCTAATAGAGAGAAAGAAGGTGAGTGAATCCCTTTTCATTAGCATACTTGTCCATGAGCTGATTGACCCTGTTCTTTTTGAAGTTAAGCAATAATCTACCCTTTTGTATATAATATAATGCAGAAAAAGAAGCCTCATTATTAATTTGACATGATAGGGTTTTGTTTTTTTTAAAATAATGTTTCCTTAAAAGATCTTTCCATATTTGAAAAAACAAGATTGTATATAGCAGTGATGGCAAACCTTTTAGAGACTGAGTGCCCAAACTGCAACCCAAAACCTACTTATGCATCGTCGGGTGCTGGGTGGGTGTGGCCAATTGGGTGGGTGTGGCCCATTGGGTGGGCGTGGCTGCCGTGGTAACGGCAGACTGGGTGGGACTAAAAAGTTCAATCAATTCCAACTTTGCAAAATCTTTTTTTTTCCTGCGAGAAGTTGAAATTGACTGATTGATTGAACCTTTTTTTTTTGCACATGGCGGCGGAGGCCTAAAGCAAATAGGTTTTATAAAACCCAGCTGAAGACCTAGGAAAGGGACGACAGCGCGCGTGCCCACAGAGAGGGCTCTGTGCCTCCTCTGGTATATAGAAAGAGAGACAGAGAGGGAAAACAAATAATGCACAGTATTTTGGATTTGTACAATCATGGTGTGGTTCAAAAATGTGCATTACTAATATTAATGGATTATCTGTAGTCATGGTGAATACCATTTAGATTTTTGCATACCTTCAGAAACCACAACAGATTTTAACTGGCAACATTAAGAGATACTTACCAGTTGGCCTTCAATTATAGTTTGCCTGTTATGTCCTTGGTAGTCAACCACTCCTAGAAAGTCAAGATAGACATCGATCCAGTAAAGGTATTTGTTGACAAGGTCAAGTGTAAGAGCAGTTGGCTGCTCTATTTTAGATATTACTATCCTTGTTCTGTTCATGCCATCCATATCACATCTCTCAATTTTAGCAACATTTCCATAATCTGTAAAGAAGAGCTTTCTGTAACGAGAAATTTCAGACACATTTTAATAATTATGCACATTTAATAGCAAGGACATAAAATGCAGTCTGTAACAGAAAAGTTGTGTCTTTCACTTATGTTAACATCTTACACATTAGCATCCACAAGAAAATCATTCTGTTTATTACAGAAAAACATAAAGAAATATTTATGGCACCTGAACACTAATAATGTATTCATAAGATTATCTCATAATATATGTGCTAGTCTTTAAGATATTACCTCATTGTTTTTAAGCATTTTAAGTTCATAAGTTATATATTTTTTTCAAAATAAAACTAGTTAACTAAAATGGTTTTATTCGCCCATCTGTCTATCCTTAGTTGCTAGATTTTATTAAAATGCTGAAAAAGTAAATAGTAAAAAAATATGTTTAGATATGTGAAACAGGAATTTGAACTTTTATCCAGGCACTTCCATTTCAGTGAGGTCCTTGGTACTCTCTCAGCTTGGTGGTTTCTTGCAGACATTTCATTACCATACTAGGTGACATTATCATCATTGATGCATCATGTCCTGTGCACTGATGGTGTTAACCTATCTTGGTAATGAAATGTCTGCAGGAACACCACCAAATTCAGAGAGCACCAAGGACCCCACCATTCAACCTTGAGCTACAAATAGTCTCTTTTATTGAACGTTAATCTTCATCTGATAGAGTAACTGTAAGGAAAATGTCTATCTATAAACCAAAGCAATATAAGTAATAAATACAGGTAATAATAATCAATCATTTTTTTTAAAAAAAACAAGCAATGGTATTCATAAAGGAAGGAAGGTATATTTTAGTTACATATACAGAAGACATATTTCAGACCATGATCTTCATTTGGGAAGGGGGGGTATCAAATGCCTATTTTTTTCCCTTTTATCAAGGATATCCAGAACATAATAATCCATGTATGCCTTTGTGAAGATAGTTTTCAATAGCCTGAAGCAACACATTAGAGAAATAATTAAGCAAATGGCAAGTAAATGTGAGGTATTGACAAAAAACACATAGAAATAACCCAGACTTCATGACTAACTCATTTATCCCAAAATGTATCATTTTGTGGAAGGTAAATTATTGACAGATAAGTGTTATCCATTTTAAAAAGAGAGCAAAAAAAATGTTCCAGTGCATTTATCTGTCCATATATTTGACTCGCTGATTACATTTAGCGTAAAACTAATAGGAATCTCTGAAAGCACCAAAGCTTCTAAGCCTGATATTTGATTAGCAAATACTGTGTTTAGTAAATCACAAATCAATTTCAATTAACCTGACAATATTTTAACAAGATTAATTTCCCATGAGATTAAATTACATTTGTAAATGGAAGCCCATCCCACCATGGCTTTAATGCTAAGGGGAAAAAGCATCTGTTTTCTGGATACTAAATTTTAAACATTGCTTAGAAAACTAATAAGATTATTTTCTAGACTTAGTAAAATTATTTAAATTCTCTCTCTCTCTCTCTCTCTCTCTCTCTCTCTCTCTCTCTCTCTGTGTGTGTGTGTGTGTGTGTGTGTGTATAGCACAAAAAAATCAAGACAATGTACAAATGTGTAAGATTTGCCTACTCTAGTTGGTGGCTAGGTTTATCCATCACACTAAGCCATGTATAATTTAAACAATGACATTGACCATTAAACTATTGGCTGAGTTCCTAAAACATGTTAAGCATAAGCTGTGATTTATATATAAATATTTCTCTAAGCCAGTTAAGCTACAGACACCATATTACTCATTAATGGTAAGAAACTAATAAAGCTAAACATTTTTATCTATTGCTATATCAGTTAGAGAGTACATCATTATATTTCGTGTCAAGCAATTCTCTGGCACAGACTACTCTCTGGGTTTCACTCACGAGATCAGAACTAATCTGTCAGAACCCCAATTTATTTTATATTTCTTTATGCCTTCATTTTTGGGTTCTGCTATTCTAATGGGGGGAGAGGGGACCTAAGGGTGTTCTGCAGTATACTTCCTTTGCTTTATTCTATCCTCTTTGAAGTATCTCCCTTGAGGTGTGAATGTGCCTCCGGCCATCTGCCTTATCTCCAGGTGAAGGGGGAAAAGCCGCGGAGAAACCTAACAGCCTTGAGAATGGCACCTTATCAGTTCTTTCCCACAACAATTTAACACCTATGGATTGGCTCAGTTCAAACCAGCCAGATGAACAGAAAGGGTTCTTTTAATGTAACATTTCGCGTTGGAAATCTTCAGATCCTGCCTACTATCTTGCTATCAATATCTTCCAATAAAAATTCCTGTTGACACAATGCAAGTTTCAAGAGTTCTGCTTTCTTGGAAGGTTTAACTGACACAGGTCTTACATAATCAGAAAATCAGTCAATATTGTCTTCTCTTTCCTTGCATTCTATAGCTACCCAGCAATTAAATCCTTCTGAGGAAAGCTGCTGAGAATTTGTCCAGATATATAGCATGGGAAAGAGGATTTTTCCTTTTCTATAAGTTCCAGGCTATGGAACATACTCTCTTGGGAATTGGGTTTGGCCCATTCTCTTTTAATATTTTTAATACATTTTTTTGCCAGGACTTTAAAGAGCTCATATTTGTATTTTCATTTGCTGGGGCTTTAGTTTTTCTTTTACTGCACTTATTTTTAGTCTGTGCCCATGTCTTTTGTGTTTATTCCACAAGCTGCTTTGAATATTCCCCCCCCAAATAGAAGTGCCTTATAAATCTAATTTATTAAATAAAATAAATATAAGGTACGTCCAGTTTGATTTAATGGATATCAGGCTATACATGTTTGCGGAAAATAGGTGAAGGAATGAATATTAGCTATGTTCACTGCCTTGAGTTACTATAAAGGTTGGATAAAAATCAAATAAATAAATAATTTATTATTTAATGTATGGCAAAGCCAAGGACAATTGCTAATGTTCCAGATGAATGAATTATAAAAAAAGCAGACTGTTTTGCTATTTTTTTTTGGGGGGGGGGGAGAAACTGGGATCCCAGCAAACAAGAGTAAAGGACGCTTGCTTAAAAAAAAAAAAAAAAAAAAAAACTGTAGTGGGATGGGAGGGAATAGAGGAAATAACAGATTCAATTGATCTTGGTAGAACAGAGCAGAAAATAGTGATGGAATGGAAGCTGGACAGCATGTTGCCTTTACATCCTCTGAACTGGGAAATGTTGAGGCAACAGTTCTGGCCAATGTGAAACCACCTGCCCCAGGCTTTGCAGGAATTCAGCAAAGGAAACTTCATTGTATTTCCTTTGGAGCAGCAGCAGAACTGATGAATTTCCTTGGCTCAGCAACATAAAGTTGGCTAGACAGCACCACTACATTGAGGGGAGAGGCAGGGATGCCACTGATTAGTACAGCCATTATGTTGGACAAGTCCTTTGATGAACTTCAAATGCATAAATTTTATATTTGAAAAGTTAGAACACAAGAAATGTTGTCAATCTGTTCTGTTATGTGAAAAGCACTGAGAAGCTTCTATAGTTTCAGTAGCAGGCATATTCTTCTCCTGCAAGTTTAAACACTACTAGTATTAAGCCTATTTCCTAAATCAATTCAACCATCTCATCTTAGGCAGTCTAACATTGGCATATATGAAAGACTGTCTTCTCTCATATGAAATATTGATTTCTGTAAGATATATTTTGTAATCTATTCTCTGATAATGGCAGCAGTGGAGATATTATATTTCACCATCACTACCTGTAGAAAAATTCCTACAATCTCAGAAATGTCAGTTCAATTATCTCTGCTGCATAGAAAAGCGAAATGAAGTTCAATTAATCTAAACTACATCAATCCAAAACAATGATTATGATAAAATATTTTTGATCTAAATAATAGTACTGACACATTCCTTTTAGTCTACTTTTTTAATTCTTCAGCAGAAATATATTGTACTTAAGAAAAAAAAATAAGAAAGGAACATTGGGATAAAAAATGGGACTGGAGTAAACCTAACCTTTATTCTGCAATATTTAAAATATCATTAACTTAAATAAAATAAAGGTGGGAAAACTGACAAGTAGAAAATATTTTCCTCGTAGATCACATACATTTCCTTTTTCTTGGTTATTAAATATATATTTCAATAAAGCAGGGAGAGTAAGAATTATTTGCTTAGAATATCCCTGTCTGAATGCCCATCAAAATCCCTAAGTTTGGGCAAAATAACAGTGCATTAAACAAGGGAGCTGTTCTTGAAGTATCAACAAGCTTATATTGGTTTAATATACTATATAATGGTCCTCCAGCCAGCAAAGGAGAATCTTTACAGCAGAGGTGGACATCTATGGCTCCTTTACATGCTGGCTCAGGAATTCTGGGAGTTGAAGTCCACAAGTAGTAAAGGAGCCATAGTTGCCCACTCATGCTTAACAGCCATATACCACCAATTTTGTGGGCACTGCACTGGTTCCCAATTAGCTTCTCAGGACAATTTAAAGTGTTGATTTTAATGTATAAAGCCATTCGTATTTCAGTACCCAGGAATCTCCAGGTCTGCTTTCTCCATCTGATCATCTTTCTCAGAGTACAGAAATATAGGATTACTGTTAAATGAGATTTGGTCTGGGGAGACAGAAGACAATGTTTTTGTCATAGTTCCATTCCTATAGAATAGTCTGTCCCCAGAGGTTAAGAAAACACCTTCCCCAATGGTGTTTTGAAAGATGGTAAAGCAGAGTTTTTCTGCAAAGCTTTAATGATACTTGATGGAATCTTTTGGACAACAGATGCCAATGTAGATTGTTAATTATAATTTTCAGTGCTGTATTCTGATTTAACTGATTTCAATTTGGTTATATTGCAAATTTCTGAGAGTCTTTTGGGAGTCTGGAGGAACAATTTAAAAAAATAAATAAATAATAAACTCAAATTTATCTGAGGACTATTCTATTTTTCAAGTTATTTAATTAAACATTCAATTTTCCATATTTCTACAAGCAATGTATTCCTATAATTTTGTTAAGTAAATGTATGCAATTCCATAC